TTGATAGGATTGTATTGCAGTTGAGTCTCGTGTATAAGCTTAATGCTCGTGTAACAAAAAAACAACAACAATAATAACAACAATAATAATAATAATAATAATAATAATAATCGATTCAATTAGGCCTTATTCTCTTCACCTTGTTCAAACAATATTTAGTTAAAAATATGTGGAGTTCAATAAAAAAAATACCATTTTAATATAAATAAGTTAAGTTCAGCAAAAATAAGTTTAGTTCAATAAAAATAAGTTTTTACTCAAGATTAGGGAAAGTTAAGGGGCAAAGATTAGGGAAAATTTTGTGAAGTAATTAAAGTAATAGGAGAGAGAAAATGGGACCCGCCCACTAACTCGATTCATAGAATTGGCGAGGAAAATGAGAGTTCGTCTCAATTGATTAAATGAGAGAGAGAATCAACTTACCCTCCTGCTCAGAATCCGTGGCCATATACGCGTCGTGGAGAGATTCAAGGTTAACCATTTTATTGGGGGACTCGATTTGTCAAACAACTGATGAGAGAAGGAGAGATCTGGAGAGAGAGATTGCAGAAAACGAAGGATGAAGAGGAGTGAGAAAGTAGAAGAACAAGATATAGGGTTTATGTTCTGGGGAAATCTCCATAAGTAAAAGAGGGAAAACCCAGTCATCGCAATTAATTTTAGGTGGTTGGGGAGATGAATAAATGGGGGTAGTTGGGGGGAAATGAGATGATTTTTGGTGGGAGTCATTAGATTAGTGTAGGTAGATTAGGTTTATGTTAATCAAATTAAAATAAGATAAGGTCATACTTATGAAAATCTGTTTTTTTTTTAAGTAAGGGTAAATAAGTCTTTTAAAACTTTTTTGTTTACTAAAAAAGGAAAGAAAATGAAAAGTTGCACATAACATATATATATATATATATATATATATATATATATATATCACAAACATTGGTCGTAGTAAACCAAGTGAATATAATGCAACTTACAAAAATAGAAAATAATAACAAATGTGAACAAAGAATAATAGGTAGAGTTTCTACTATCTTTTTGTATCTAACATTTATACTAGTATATTAGGAAAAATAATAATAATAATAATAATAATTTCCCTCCAAATTTCTCATTCCCTCTTTGTTTCTTCTATAGTCATCAGCAGCCAAATTACAATAGTGCCCATTCGTTGGCAACATAGTCTCTCTCCTAATGAATTGAGAAGCTCCATAAACCAAATCTTCACCAATTCAATTGTTACAAAGTCAAACCATATATCAAGAGAAACTCTTGCCTCTCTTCTCCTCTTCTCTCCTCCTCTCTTCTAGGCTCTCTCCAAATTCTAGGCCGTTTAGGTCGGAAATAGTCTAATTTTCGACCCTTTTTCCTTAATTTTCTTTAGTTTTGCAATTTAGTTTTCAATAAATCTACACGAGTAGCGTAGAAATTTGTCCGTCTCCCTATGGTGGAGTCGTTAGTTTTTGTTAGTTTTGTTGTTTGTTTTTGTTTAGGTTTTTTTTTGGGGGTTAGGGTTTATTAAAAAGGTAATCATCTTTTGCCCTATTATCAATTCATTGGTAAAGAGTTGTCCGGAATCGCAACGGTTGTCAAATATTCAAAGGCGTTCAAGTGAATCAAATGAAAATCATCCTTACGGCTACAATAAATCGTTATACCGTCTCTCCGAAAAGGCTGTATATTCCAGCGATGTGTGCGAGAGATGTACCACAGTGCAAGATCTATTCAACGAACGTAGCTTTGCTAAAGGAAACTTTTATTTGATTTAATTTTATGTACATTTTGATTTAAATTTCATTTGTAGATGTCGTATGGCTTTTGATTAATAAATAATTATTTCACAAAGAAAAAAGTTGAACCATATATCAAGGAAAACCCTCTCTTCTATTTCCCCAATTGTACGAATATAAAGGTTAATAATGTCAAATTAGGGTTATATTTTTTTCCATTTATTTTATGCAATTTTTTTGTTTTAATTCTTTGTAAATCTGTATCATTTCCTCCATTCAAAGAAAACTTGTGAAATGTGAAGTGCGGATTTCCAATCGAATAATGCAACGATGTAGTTTTGGAGGTTGGTGCTAGAATCTGCTAGTAGTTAGAAAAAGGAAAGGAAGTTGTTTTTTAGCAGTCATGGGACAACACCCCAAATTGGATGTCAACAGTCCAAATCCTAGTAACGGTTTTTCCTTCGCAACCAAAACGTGTAAAAGGTCCCTTTTTTTTTGTTGGTGAAGGCCCGTTAGCACAAAAGACTACTCGATTCGTTTCATTTTTTTTTTTTTTGTCAAGAAAGCCATAAATTGTAAACAGATTTGATCACAATACCGACCTCTAATGAATAATTGAATATTTCAATATGGAATAAGTACGTCATTTTCAGAAAGTAAGGATAATTCTTTCTAAGACAAAAGATTAGTGCATTTACAATATGTCTATAAGAATTTGAGGCGGGCTAGACCCCATTTATCTCCTAGATAAACATAAATTGTTGATCTCAATGGCAAAGTTGTGATAATATCCATTTGTTTTTATGTCGAGCTTGTCCCAATTTCTCCTCTCAAAATGGCAAATAAGTAAATAATGGGAAATTTTTTAATATTTTATTATTTTTTATGATAAGTCATCTTCTTTCTCCTCCTTCCATTTTCATCCTTCCTTCTTCAACCTTTCGAATCATCCATGGAAGACAAACCCCATTACCATAACCAACTCCATTCCCAACACCACCAATACCACAACAAACCCCAACCATAACACCACCATATCTGGCAGCTTTGTCGCCGAATTTAACGAAAAACCTTAAGAAAAATATATAAATTAAGGGTATGGTTAACCCTAAATGGTAGGATTTTGCCATTGTTTGAAATTGTTCCCTCCATTGTTGAAGAAATATTCGATTTTCATTGTTGAAATCTGCTCAAAGTTCATGGCTGAGAAGAGAGAAGTTGAGAGCAGTGAATATTTTTTATCAAAAAGACCAAAATGCCCTTTTCTCAGAGAAACTTGTATTTTCTATTTTATGCCACTTCATTAAAAGGGGATTAAAAACTAAAAAATAAAAGAAAAATAAAAAATTGGACATATGCTCTGTGAAGTGAACTGCTATTCGACGCTCCCAATTTACATGGTGACGCTCCCATTTAAATATGAAATTACCGTTTTACCCTTGTGTTTATTTGACGTATATAATGCTCCACAACTTTGTCACATAGTATACCGAGCAGTTTAATATTATTCCCGAGCACTTTGACCTACCACTAACATTTAAAAAATCTCGCGCCCCAAAATTCCCGAGACCACCACCAAAAATATTAAGTTTTTTTTAAAAAATAATATCAAGGTTTAGCGACTGTTTTGGACGATGAACGACGGCGACGATCGTACGTCGAAGGCATCTTCAGAAGAATCTGTAAATCGTTGAAATTTTTTTTTTTTTTTGAAAAAGACACTTCTGCCCAAAATTTCCGGATTTTCCATGGAGGATCCGGAAATATTAGGCAAATCCTCCATGGTACTTCCCGTCCCTTAGTCTCACTATCTTCAACTAAGCCACTTCGTCCCTAGGTCAAGGTCGGAAGGTGTCACAGCGGGTAAAGAAAACTCGTGAAGGCCTTACCATACCACTTAGCTCAAGCCAGTCTAAGTGATTGGCTGAATACCGAGAATAGAGTCTCCTCTTGGGGTTTCTCCCGGATGGGGTACTACACTGTAGCGTCGGCTGTTGCTTTGGAATGGAGAACTAATCAACTTTGGGCGGAAGTGCCTTTTTGTTTGCATTTTTTTTTTGTATGTTATGGATTAATATTATTGTTATTATTATTATGATTATTATTTTTTTTGTTATGATTATTATGATTATTATTATTATTATTGTTATGATTATTATTATTATGATTATTATGATTATTATTATTGTTGTTGTTGTTGTTGTTGTTGTTGTTGTTGTTGTTGTTGTTATTATAAGTTATTTTTGTTAGTATTAGTTTATGTAGTTGTTATTAATATTGTTATTATTGTTATTGTTAGTTATTTTTGTAAGTATTAGTCTATGTTAATGAGTTAATATTAGTCAATGTTAGTGTTAGTTTATGTTAGTTAATATTGTGAAATTAGTTAATGTTAGTGTTAGTTGATGTTAGTTAATATTATTTAATATTAGTTAATGTTATGATATTATTATTATTATTATTATTATTCTTTTAAAAATATTGGTGTTATTAATATTATAAGTAAAATACTAATATTGGCGTGTTTTTTGTGTTTTCTTGTATTTTTAAAGGATTCGGAGTTTGAAGAAGGCGGTGACGGTGTGAATTACAGGCGAATTTTGTCACAAATACGTTTTTTTCCAACGTTTGATAATGCAGTTCAATGGGTGGATGTTGTTGCCATAAATCTGGGATTTATTTTGGTCAAATCGTCTTACAACAAAACCAGGGATGGTAGGCCGTATCGGGGACGTAGGAGCAAGCCGAGAGATCTTGAGAACGCAATTCGGAAGGACACTAAAACCAAAGCCAATGGTTGTCCTTTCTACATCAAGATATATTACGAGTTCATCACCGATAGTTGGAAGATCCATGCAAAAAAAAGATGCAACTGGGACCCATAACCATCCAGTGATTGTGTATCAGGAGGGGCATCGTAAAATTAGTGGGTTGGGACCGGGTGCGAAGAAGGTTGTGCATGACATGACGAAGTCTAAGGTTGCACCGCGTAACATCATGGAGACTATTGCCGAGCAATTTCCTGATGATCATCCAAACATCAGACACATCCACAACTGCCGGAATGACTTGAGAACGGAGATGCCTGATGGGAGAGGAGTAGCTCAACAATTTCTACATTTGGCGAGATAGAGTCAGTATCTTTACTGGGTCATGTCTGATGATCTAGGCGTTTTACAGCATGCCTTTATGGTGCACCTAGTCACGGTAGACATCCTATGGACGTACCCATATGTGATCGGTATGGATTCCACTTACAAGACCAACCGATACGGGATGCCGTTCTTTGAGATAGTAGGTGTGACACCGACAAATCAGAATTTCCTCGTCGATTACGTGTTCATGCACAACGAGTGCACGGCAAGCTATCGATGGGTTTTGCAGAGACTGGGAGACTTGATTGGGTATGATAGGGAACCGTCAGTTTTTTTGATAGACCGTGAGCTTGGGCTATGTGCGGCATTGAGAGAAGTGTTTCCAGGGACCCCGCACTTACTATGTCGATGGCACATTAACAAATATGTGGAGGCTCGAGTCACTAATATGTTCAAAAACAAGAAGATCGGTGCGAGTTTCAAAAACAAGAAATGGAAACGTATCATGGATGCTGCAACCGAGGAGGATTATAGTGCTGTTGTACAAACAATGAAAGATCGGTGGACAAGTTATCCAGCGGTGATACAATATGTAGAGAGAACATGGCTTTGTCATAAAACCAAGTTTGTGACATTTTGGACAAACCAAGTTCTGCATTTTGGCAACACAAGCACTTGCAGAGTTGAGAGTCAACATTCGGCCGTGAAGATGTGGTTTGAATCTTCGACAGGTTCGTTGTTTGGACTTTGCTGTAGTTATTGATTAATATTAATATTTTTATTGTTATGATTATTATGTTTTTTGTTATGATTATTATGATTATTTTTGTTATTATTATTATTATTATTATTATTATTATTATTGTTATTATTATTATCACTCCTGACGATTTTTTTGTAATGTGCAGGTTCTTTAGATACCGTATGGGCCCGAGTTCATTGCCACATTGGTAATCAGATCATCGCAATTCGTAATGGTTTGGAGGCGTCTAGGTCGAAGATTGGTCAGAAGTACCGACAATTGCAACTGTCACGTATTAATGGCAAGGTGTCTCAGCATTGTTTGAAGGTTCTCGACGACAAGAGGAAAAGGATGAGGGAGCTGAGTTATCAGGTGTATGAGCGATGTGGATGTGCAATGCGTGTGACCCACGGTTTGCCGTGTGCTTTCCAGATACATGATTCTCTAGCTGCCGAGATAGGCTTGTATACCAGGAAAATTCACCCGTTCTGGAAGACCTTAGTTATCGGTGATGGTGATGATGTACCGGTGTTCGGTAACGACTCGACCGAGGACGCCACACATTTTCGTTTTCTAGTGGATGAGGTAATCGGTAGTGATCCTGCTGTTCTTCGAAATGTATCTCGCATCATTGAGGAGGAGCTGCATCCGAATCATTCAAACCTTGGAGATCCTGCTGTAAACCACAACGTTCGTGGTCGACGAAGGAACAATGATGCAAGACGTGATCCTTGTTATTTCGAACATGTAAACCGTCGAAACACTCAACGTGGTCCGTAACAAACAGGTAAGATTGGCTAATTTGATTTTCACGTATTTTTATCATTTACTGTACTAATAGCTGAACACTAATTTCGTGCAGAAGATCCATGTGACATCAGCCAAAGCCGGTATCGACACTTTCTTCCAGGACCGATATTGCCTTACATCACAGGATGGAAGGATGTCATTGGCGATGGTAACTGCGGCTTTCGTTGTGTGGCCGACTTCTTCTTCGGTGACCAAGGGAAATGGTATGACGCTCGAGAAACAATAGCTAACGAGGTCTTTGGTTATCCAGTCCTGTACGAAAGGATTTACGGGCTTGGAAGGCTTGGGATGAATGTGGAGCGTATTAGATGGGACGGTGGGGCGGTTGATTCCCGTCATTGGATGGTTGCAATTCAAGATTTATTTCCTATTGCTACTTGGTTCAACGCAATGGTAGTTATTCTTGGTGTAGGCCAAGTACCAACCTATTACTACCCATGCCTCACGATCTTGTCGTTGCGGGCACGAAGGACGGTCACAGCACCTGCCCGAGAGTTTGTGATTGCTACAGTTGGGGGCTCACATTTTATCCGTATTGATCTTGCACCAGATTCACCACTTCCCCCGATTGCATGTTGGTGGATCGAGCACCACGAGCCAAGTGTTGACGGTTGGGATCAGCGTTATGCAGTTAGACGGAACATGTGGGATGCGTTAATTAGATAGCAAACTCATTTATGTACATTCATTTATGGTGAACAGTTTTAGATATGTAATATGTAAATCATTTTTGTTATTAACATTTTTGTTATTAACTCATTAACATGAACATAAACATAAACTCTTTAACATAAAAATAATAATAATATTTTTTGTTATTAACTAATTAACATAAACTAATAATAATAACAATAATAACAACAACAACAATAATCATAAATATAATAATCATAATCATAATCATAATCATAAAAATCATAATAATCATAATACTAAAAATCAATAAACTAACGAAGTTCGTACAAGTACTGTAAAACAATCAATGTTTGCTAATATAAAACTAAAAGACAAGTACTTCACAACCCCATCATCGTCTTCCAGTCAGCTATCAGCTGCTCGGTCATTGCCCTCGTTTCACGCGTCATGCTGGGATACTCATCCAGTGATCTCCGGTGAATCTCCAAGGACCGACCCATCCACTGCAAGTAACAGAACAACATATTAGTTACAGAAATTACAATTTATTTAAGTAATATTTACAGTATAATAAAAGACAACTACTTACATAGTCCGTGTTAGTCCTCTCGGGAAGTCTGCTACTCCAATCTGATGACCCACCAGGAGAAAGACGAGGATGAGAAAATTGGTACAACCACTACATGTAACCAGGAGCGACTGTAACACCTCCACCACCGAGTCTGGTGAGGGCACCTAAAACAATACTAAAAGACGAGCCAGGGACAAACCGAGTCCACATCACAGATGTCATCTCGGTCGGAAAGTCAACCCGATACATCTTCAGGTTCGTCGGTCTCTTGGCCTTCTCAGGCCTGATAATGGTCCGCGGAATCTCCTGCACGAATTCAAGCTGTAGGACCACTCGATCAGGCATGTATGGCTCAATGATGCTCCAGTACTGGATGCAGCCAATGAATAGAGTGGCTGGCACGCGTCGAGCGGGATCAACTCCGTACGGTAGCCAGTTAACCTCATTATCGGTCAGCTTATCCAATCGAGCACGAAAAGCGAGGAGGCGCTCCATGCTCTTGTTCAGGCATCCCAATCCCACATCCCAAGCACACGCATGAGGAATACTAAGCTCCCTTGTCAAGGTACCCTGCTGAGGCCGGAAGCACGGAAAGTACTCGTAGATCCACGCCTGCAGAAGCGTGAGACAACCAGCGATTGAATCGGCATCTTTTCTTGATGCCGTACCCAACTGGCGATACAAATATGCCAGAGCAGCTAAACCCCAAGTGTAGTCACTAATCTGCAGCTCCTCAACAACAAGCTCGTTGAGGAAGGAAGGATGAGTGCGGTTACCACTCTTGTCCAAAAACAGACATCCGCCTAGTACTAACCACATGTAGGCACTGTAATGGACACTGTAGGGCCTCTGCTCCTCCAAGGTCGAGTCCATAATCCTCTCGGTCAGCACCCCACTACCCTGCCAAATGGTCTTCGTACCGCACTTCTCGTAATGCTCTCCCGCAGTCATGTCCAGGGTAACCTGGTACGCGTCCCATATAACGTCCGTGCTAGGAGTAATGGAAACCATGGAACCATCAACACGAAGCCCAAGAATATGGTACACATTGTGCAGCATGATCGTGATCTTCCCAAATGGCATATGAAAGGTGTTCGTATCTGGCTGCCATCTCTCAACAAACGCATAAATCAACAGCCAATTAAAACGCCTAAACATGATCCCTGGTAAGTGAGACAGACCACTGCCGTCAATCAGCTCCAAATGCTCCTGTGTAAGACGACCTCGCTAAGTAACCAATGCAGAACACAACCGTGTCCTGCTCAAACAGCGCAAAACTTTACACTCCTACCCGCCCCAAATATATGCAGCCACGTGACCACCAAAACTGGGGATAACAATACCATCCTCAGGACCACCTGGCATCGGCTGCTGCACTACCCATGTCTCTGCTGAGCTAGTGGAAGGTTGACTCGCTTGACTGCTACTCACAAATCTCCCTTGTTGACACCTATGCACCGTATGATAACCAACTGGATCGTACTCTTCATCTCGATCAGCCTGACTTGCCCGCTCATCGTCCTCCTCGTCAGATGTCGGCACTTGGCCCAACGAGTACATGGGGGGGCTCCCTTGCGATTGATGCTCCCCCGACTAAGTACCGACAGACCTATATTGCTGCTCATGATGATACGGTGCCCCCGTATTTACCGAACGACCCAACTCCCTCCTAATAGACGCATGCAAACGTCTTGATACTGCATGACGAGGACCCGAACTCTCAATCTACATTAAATAAATACAATATCAAATATCAGTAATAATTACAAATATAACTATGATATTAAAGTTGAACAACTAATATTCAAATTCAAAAAAGTAAACAATATTACAATAATAACAATATTAATAACAACAAAAATAAATTGGGTAATAATACTGATAACAACAATAATAAGAATATTCTTAACAACGATAATAATAATAACAACAATAAATATAATAATAGTAATATTGCTGCTAATAATAACAATCCTAAAACTAATAACATTACTAATAATAATAATTTTAATCGGTTATTTAAAGAATATTGATCACGAAAAAAAAAAATATGTTCATCCCTAAAAAAAATAACATAACATTAATCATGAGAAAAAAAATACATCATTCGGAATAATTTTAATCGGTTATTTACACAATATTAATGACGAAAAAAAATATGTTAAGCACGAAAAAAAACATAAAAGTAACCATGAGAAAAGAAAAAAAATTTGGAATAATTTTAATCGGTTATTTAATGAATATTAATCTCGAAACAAAAAACATATTAAGCACGAAAAAAAAACCATTAATCATGAGAAAACAAATAAAAAAAACGGAATAATCACAAAAACAAAAAATTGTTAACCACGGAAAAAAACATAACATTAATCATCAAAAAGAAAAAACCAATAAATTCGGAATATTTTTAATCGATTATTTGAAAAATATTAATCACAACAAAAAAAAAACAAAATTACATAACATTAATCATGAGAAAAAAAAACAAAAATCACCACGAAAACCAAAAAACAAAAACAACAACAAATAACAAAAACAAATATAAAAACAAAAACAAAAAAACAAAAACAAAAAAACAAAAACAAAAACAAAAAACAAAAACAAAAACCAAAAAACAAAAACAAAAACAAAAACAAAAACAAAAACAAAACCAAAACCAAAACCAAAACCAAAAAACAAAAACAAAAACAAAAACAAAAAACAAAAACAAAAACAAAAACAAAAAACAAAAACAAAAAACAAAAACAAAAACAAAAAAAAAACAAAAAAAAAACAAAAACAAAAAAAAAGGAAAAAAAAAACAGATTTTAGGGACATCCGCCTGAAATTTCCGGATGTCCCTAATTTTCCAGAATTATTTTTTTAAAAAACGTATTTACGAAAATCAAAAGCACTGTGAGCCAAACCTGTTCGCCGCCTCCCACGCCGCCGCCACGACCGCCGTAGGTGAACGTTATTCGCCTCCGATCCGCCATTGGTGTACCCTCCTTCGATTGGTGGTGGTTCTTGTTCTTTTTCTTTATTATTTTCTGTTTTTTTTTTTTGGGAATTTTCAGATTTTTTTTTTTTTGAATTTTCAGATTTTTTTAAAAAAATCTGTTTTTTTATTTTTTGAGGAGATATTCAGTTTTTAGAGAGAGAAGTACGAGCGTAAAAAAGTGTTGTAACTGTCGTGAGTGAGTGTCGTGAGTATTTATATACGGGGGGCAAAAACGGAATTTCATGAAAAAAATGCGAGCGTCGGGTTGTAATTTGGGAGCGACGTTTAACAACACCCTCTGTAAATCATACCGTGAACTTTAACTTCTTCTCCCCAATGTAGAAAGCTCATATGCAGATTCAATGGTGAAATCGCAACCCTTTCTTTCTCTCTCCTCCAGTGGCCACTGTGTCCGCGGTGAAGAAAGCTCATGACTCGCCTCATTGGAGAAATCAGATTACTATTTTAGTTGAGAAAGCTCAGAAGATGTTTATATGGAGATATTAGAGCTATATTCCGACGGCTTCGCCACCGAATTCTAAGAAAATCCTAAGAAAAACATATAAATGAAGGGAATGGTTAACCCTATTGGGTAGGTGTTTTATGTTTGTTGTGAGGTTTCTCTCCTCCATTGATGTCACCATTAAAGATGGCTAGGAGCTTCTTTGTGCGATCCTTCTTCTGGAATTCTGGAAGACTCCGTCTAGCTTTGGAAATAACGACAGAAACAATCGTTACATCATAAACATAGATTTTACATATATACCCCCTCTTTGCCATGCGGTTTACTAAAATACCCTTTAATAAACATTATCAAGAAGATAAACTTGAATTTTCTCATTTGAGGCCGAGGAAACCTTTGGAAATATCTATGAAGATTTTTTATGATAGACTCTTGAATAATGTTATGTAGGTGACAAAGCAACAAAGTCATCATTAACATAGTCTGTATAATAATAATAATAATAATAATAATAATAATAATAATAATAATAATAATAATAATAATAATAATAATAATAATAATAATAATGTTTTGTTCAACTACATAAGGCCTTATATTTCAAAGTTTGATTGTTAGACTGTCTTTTTCAATATTTAAAAATAGGGTTTTTTTTTTTAAACAAATTAATGAATAGGTATATTTTGGAGAGCTAATCTTCTATTATTAACCTATTTTAAAAGTAAATCCTTCCATGAAAAATTTTCCCGCCTTTTTCTCTTTTTTTTTTTCAAAATCTTTAAGTAAACTATTGATACCTTGTGATATTTTCTTTCCAATTTGACAATTATATTCCATATATACCAAAATGAAATAATTCTGAATATCTTTTACATACTTTATGTAGTATTTTGTAGTATTATTGTCAAAAATATTTAACAACCGTACATTGCACGGGATTTTAACTTAATTAATTAAAACAGGAAATCCTAACAGTCAATGGACCCACACTACACGTGGCAAACTTCCAATTACCTAACACAAAGAAGTTTGTTATTGTTCTGTTTATTCCTCTATAGGACATCACGGATCATCATCACTCTTCCTCTCTTTCCAAGGGTTTCCTCTTTTGCAATGAAATTCATCCGATAATTAAAATGGGGATATTGTTTCTTTTTGAAGATTAATTAAGAAAATGTTTTGATCAAAAAGAAAAGATTAAACCAACAATCTTATTAGAAAGAATAACAAGAAGAAAATATGGATCATATGGTGGTAGGAGGATCAAAGGAGCTAAGTTTAGGAGATTCAAACGATTTCGAGAGGCAATCGAACCTCTCACTTAGCGATCGTCTTAAGGTCTTTAAAAGCTCTCAATTCGATCTTGACGCCTTCATCAACTCAAAATGCAGAAGAATGGCCGAAAAGGTATTGTCTTTCTTACAATTAGATTAATAATCTTTGTAATAATATTATGATTAACATTGGGATTAGACTTATCTGAATTATTCAAGCTATTATTTAAACGATGGGATTAATGGTTATTTTTCTTTTGCATTGTGCATTTGTGCTACGTTCTTCTATATATTTATTTATTTATTGAAAATTTTATAATAGTCGTTTGAAATATGACTATCATTTTGTTTTAATGGTTGGTTTGTTTGTATTTTGCTATCCAGGAGTTAAAATACTTGACAATGTACTTAAAGGACTTAAAAAAGGCATCAGCTGAGGAGATGCGTAAGAGTGTATATGCTAATTATTCTGCTTTTATACGGTCAGCAGAATCATTTATCTCGATTGCTATTAATTTTTGTCACGTCTTTTGTTATCCAAACATTTCATGGTAAACTTTCGTATGAGATAATTTGACAATAAGCTACGACTATGTATACGAGTAACTTTAATTATATCGTTATAGGTTCGTGTCAAATGTTCTCACCAAAAACTTGTACTTATATTTTCTGTATGATTGGATTTATAGTCGAATTCCGAGAGTTGTGTAGAAAATATTCCTGCCTAATATTTTGGATTTTTTGACAATTATTACCTATAATTGTTGCTATTTTAGGAATTACTACCTACAGTTTTTTTATTTGAAATTTACCACCTACATTTTATGAAAATGATAAAACTTTCCACCATTTTGAAAGATGGTGTCTTGGTGGGGCCCACAAATCCCCTTCCTCTCATTTTCCCTCCTTTTCCTTCCTTCCTCTTTTGGTACTCGGTCTTTCTTCTTCATCTCCTTTTTAATTTTGCACAAATACTAAAATCAAATTGCTAAAATAAAAAATTAGGATTTCAAAATTCATTGTTCTTGCTTCGTATCTTCAAAAATTAGGGTTTCTAGCAATTCGATTTCAAGCTATGCCTCAATTTAGATGGAAGTGGAAGAAGAGGGAAGTGAGAATCGAGTGAAGAAGAAAGAAAACGGAGGGAAATAGCAAGGATGACGTCATCTTTGAGGGGTTGGTCAAAGTGGTGAGAAGTTCTAGTGTTTTGGAAAAATGTAGGTGGTAAATTTCAATTAAAAAAAAAAAAAAAAAAACTGTATGTGGTAATTCCTAAAACAACAATAATTATAGGTGGTAATTGTCAAAAAATCCTAATATTTTTTCAAAAAACATGATATATGCATAACTTGCAGAACGGCGAAGGAGATATCAGCACTTGAGGGTCAACTTCTATCACTTCGTAACCTCTTATCAGCTCAAGCAGCAGTTGTTCATGGCTTAGCAGATGGAGTCCATGTTAACTCTTTGTCACCAGGTGTACAAGGTCCATCAGATGAAGAATTGTCTAATAATAAAAATAGCGAGGTTACCAAGATTGAGACATGGTTGAATGAATTCCTTGAGTCCCTAGAAGTGCTCCTAGCTGAGAGAAGGGTGGAGGAAGCATTAGCAGCCCTAGACGAAGCAGAGAGAGTGGTAGAAGATGCCAATGACAGGGGATCCCTGAAAACAACGATGTTGATATCACTCCAAAATGCCATTACAGCAAGCAGACTGAAGTTAGCAGATCAACTGGTGGAAACAGTTAGCCAGTCTTCCACCAAAGGTGCTGAAAGAAGAGCAGTTGTGTTGATAAGTATATTAGGTGACTCGTACTTCGTAGCTTTGTCCGCCCGATCGGGCGGACATTGCCCGGTCTGACCGGGCGGAAGAAGAAGAGGTGCCTGGCAAATTCGTTGAAGAAGCTGCTCTCGCGCCCGACCGGGCGAGCCTTCGCCCGACCGGGCGAGCCTTCGCCCGATCGGGCAGACCTTGCCCGGTCTGACCGGGCGGTGGGGGTTGGATACGTTGAAGCATTCGTATGGAGTTTTCTTCTCGCGCCCGATCGGGCAGACCTTGCCCGGTCTGACCGGGCGGAGAAGGAAAAATACGGAACGCGGATTTTGCGGTTTTAGGTTATCTTATTTTATTATCTTTTTGCCCAAGTATCTTTTAATTAGGGATTAATATAAAACCTCCCTAATATCAGTATTAGGGTGAAAAGAGATAGAGTGAGAGCCGTTCTTGAGAAATACAAGAATCATCTTTGTAATCTTTGCAGTTTATAGTGAAATCATTCGATCTCGGTGCCCGTGGACGTAGCTATCACATCGATAGTGAACCACGTAAATTCTTGGTGTTGTTCTTATTGTTTGCATTGAATTTCTTTATTGTTTTCTTGTTTGTTTACGACCTTTGCTTCCGCTGTCGCACAACAATTGGTATCAAGAGCTCAGGTTCAATCCTTGGAGAGTTTCTTGAAGATAACAATGGCAGGAGATTCAACAATAAGAATTGAGAAGTTTACCGGGAAAAATAGTTTCGGGCTATGGCAAATTAAGATGAAGGCTCTGTTAAAACAACAGCAGATATGGCGTCCGTTGGCTCCAAAGAGTACTACTTCGGAGTCAGGAGACGGACCGACTGACTCGCAGTTAGAAGTTATGGAAGAGAAGGCACACTCTACCATATTACTTAGTCTTGATGATCAAATCATCACGGAGGTGGCTGATCAGGAAACGGCGGCTGGATTGTGGCTGAAGCTGGAGTCATTGTATATGACTAAGTCGTTGACCAACAAATTATTACTGAAACAGCGGTTGTTTAGCCTCCGGATGCAGTCAGGTACTTCCTTACGGGAACATCTAGAAAAACTTAACTCTATTTTGCTTGATTTACGTAATTTAGATGTTAAAATTGATGATGAGGATGCTGCGTTGATTTTACTTGTATCTCTACCGTCTAGCTTTGAGAATTTTGTAGAGTCTTTTGTTGTTGGTAAGGATTCTATAACCTTAGAAGAAGTGAAGGCAGCACTTCATACTAGGGAACTCAGAATGAAAGCTACGAGTGATAATGGGGATAATGGTAGTGGGTTATTTGTTAAGTCCGGAAAGTCTAAAAAGAATAAGGGGTTTAACAAGGGGAACAATGCTGGGTCGGGTGCTGGAAACGGCAAGGATGGATCTAGTAAAACTACTACTAAAACATGTTATTACTGTAAAGAACCGGGTCACTTTAGGAATAATTGTCCGGTGAGGAAAAACAAGTCCCAGGCTGCTGTAGTTGAAGAGAAACCGAATGAGAGCTATAATTCAGAGGAAGATTTAGCATTAGTCAGTTCTGCTAGGTCTGATGATTTATCTGATAACTGGGTTCTAGATTCGGGGTGTTCGTTCCATATGTGTCCACGTCGAGATTGGTTTGATACATATGAACCTCGCAATGGGGGTATGGTTATAGTCGGTAACAATGCTCCATGTAAGGTCACAGGTATTGGTTCCATGAGGTTGAGGACTGTTGATGGGCGGAGGTTAACTTTGACTAATGTACGGCATGTTCCTGCTTTAGGAAAGAATCTGATTTCATTGGGTACCCTGGATGAATTGGGGTACAATGGTGTGTTTTCAGATGGGGAGTTGTGTATTTTCAGAGGTTCTGAGTTGGTACTTAAGGGTATCAAAAGGAACACCCTCTATGTTTTTGAGGGTGTTACACTGCCTAGTTCTGCGGTTTGCGCATCTGTATCTCACCAGGAGATGACTAAGATTTGGCACATGAGGCTTGGTCATATGGGGGAGAAGGGGATGCAGCTATTGTCCAAGAGGGGTCTTCTATCCGGGGTCAAGGTTGCCAACCTTGAATTTTGTGAGCATTGTGTGTTTGGTAAGAAACACAGGTCAAAGTTCAGCAAGGGTGCTCACATTACTGATGCAGTGCTCGATTACATCCATTCAGATTGCTGGGGTCCATCTAGAGTTGAAGGTATGGGAGGTTACCACTATTTTGTGTCATTTGTTGATGACAAGTCCCGATACACATGGCTTAGGTTGCTTAAGTCAAAGGATGAGGCCTTCAAAGTTTTCAAGCAATGGAAAGCTTTGGTGGAAAATCGACAAGGAAGGAAGATCAAGAAGCTACGAACGGACAATGGGCTAGAGTTTTGCAAAGACGAGTTTAATCAGTTCTGTGCAGATGAGGGTATAGGTCGGCATCATACTGTCAGGAAGACACCACAGCAGAACGGTGTAGCAGAACGGGTTAATCAGACACTGCTAGAGAGAGTTCGATGCATGCTCTCTAATGCAGGGCTTGGGAGGAGGTACTGGAGTGAAGCTGTGTTAACAGCTTGTTATGTCATTAATAGGGGTCCTCATTCTGGAATTGATTCCAAAATTCCGTTTGAGATCTGGAGTGGTAAGTTGCCTAATTTTTCGAATTTGAAGATTTTTGGTTGTGTTGCTTATTATCATGTTATTGAGGGTAAGCTGGATCCACGAGCCAAGAAGGGGTGTTTTGTTGGGTACGGGGATGGTGTGAAGGGGTTTAGAATTTTTTCACCTTCGGAGGGTCGGGTCATTCTTAGTAGGGATGTTACTTTCGATGAAAACACCATGTATTCAATTAAAAATGCAGAGATTTCAGATTTGAGAAGGGAAGGAGACAATTTATTACAGACAGATGGGGTACTTGAGGTACATCAGTCTACCATTGCTGATTTACCTCGGGTACAATATATTGATGATGATGCTGATGTTCCAGTGCCGGGTACTCCTGAACCTGAGATTACTCCTACTCATTCTAACTCTGGGGATGAGGTGGAGCAATCTAATCAGGGGTCATCTAGTCAACCTGACACCATTCTTGAGATGCCTAAACGAGTTATCAAGAAGCCTGTTAGATTGATTGAAGAGATGGAGGGAAGAAATTGCTGTGTTGATGCGATGACAGGTTATGCATTGAGTGTAGCTGATGATGTAGAGTCATTTGAACCTGCCACATATAAACAAGCAATTAGTTGTAGTGAGTCTGCGCAATGGCTTGCCGCAATGGGTGAAGAGATGCAGTCCCTTTACAAGAACAGAGTGTGGGAACTGGTAAAGGTACCGGAAGGGAGGAAGCTTGTGGGTTGTAAATGAATTTACAAGAAGAAAGAAGGGTTGTCGGAAACTGAGCAAATACGTTTTAAGGCTAGGCTAGTTGCTAAGGGGTTCAGTCAGGTAGAAGGGGTTGATTTTGTTGAGATATTCTCACCTGTGGTTCGACATACTTCTATCCGTGTGTTATTGTCAATTGTAGCACATTTTGATCTTGAGCTGGAGCAGTTGGATGTTAAAACGGCTTTCCTTCATGGCGATTTGGAGGAGGAGATTCTGATGAAGCAGCCCGAAGGATTCGAAGCTCCTGGAAAGGAACACTATGCCTGCAGATTGCTAAAGTCATTGTATGGACTTAAGCAATCCCCCCGACAGTGGTACAAAAGGTTTGATTCTTTTATGGTTTCACAAGGTTTTGACAGGAATTCATATGATTGCTGTGTGTATCATAGTAAGCTGGATAATGGTTCCATGATTTATCTTTTGTTATATGTTGATGACATGTTGGTTGCCACAAAGAATAAATCTGATATTGCTAGATTAAAGGAGATGCTTAACTCGGAGTTTGACATGAAAGACTTGGGTGCAGCTAGGAAGATTTTGGGTATGGAGATCTACAGGGATCGGGCTAGAGGTAAGCTTTTCTTGACTCAGAAAAGCTACATTGAAAAGATTTTGTCTCGTTTTGGGATGGAAAAATCGAAGCCTATAAGTACGCCAACTACTGTTAGTTGTAAGTTGTCTTTGTCTATGTCACCTCAATCAGAGGAGGAGTTGTCTTATATGTCTAGAGTTCCATATGCAAACGCGGTTGGTTGTTTGATGTATGCTATGGTCTGTACTAGGCCGGATATTGCGCATGCTGTTAGTGTTGTAAGCAGGTTTATGGCTCGACCTGGGAGGGAACACTGGCAAGGGGTGAAAAGGATTTTTCGCTACCTGAGAGGGACAACTGATATTGGTCTTGTGTACGGGAATGGTAAGGAATGCTTGGTCACTGGGTACAGTGATTCTGATTATGCAGCTGATGTGGATACCAGGAGGTCTGTGACTGGTTATGTGTTCACTTTGGGTGGTTCTGTGGTTAGTTGGAAGTCTACATTGCAGTCATCAGTTACGTTGTCAACTACTGAAGCTGAGTATATGGCTCTAACTTCTGCAGCTAAGGAGTCTATTTGGCTCAAAGGCCTAGTAGGTGAACTGGGTATTGCACAGGATTTTGCTACAGTATATTGTGATAGTCTAAGTGCGATTTGCTTAGCTAAAGATCAAGTACACCATGATCGGACGAAGCACATTGATGTCAGGTATCATTTCTTGCGTACTGACAAGAGGATTAAGGTGAAGAAGATTGGGACTGCTGACAACCCGGCTGATTTCTTCACTAAGCCTGTTCCGTTTAGCAAGTTTAAACATTGCTTAGACTTGTTAAATATTGATTACTACGTGATGTAGTAGGCCCTGAGGGGCGAAGTTGGGGAGCTCCTGGTGTAGGTGTGTTGGCCTTAAGGTGGAGCTTGCCCGGGGCTTGTGATGCAGGTGGAGCATTATGAGTTGTTATACTTGGAGACGAGTATGTGATGGGTCTTGGTTGAAGACTTATCGGGATGTATGGCTTATGCATGAGTCCTGCATCGGGTTTGGCTTGAGATGTTTTTTCACTATGTCTTGATGGGGTTGTTTGCTGACTACGAGTTCTCGTCAAGGTGGAGATTGTTGATAAGTATATTAGGTGACTCGTGCTTCGTAGCTTTGTCCGCCCGATCGGGCGGACATTGCCCGGTCTGACCGGGCGGAAGAAGAAGAGGTGCCTGGCAAATTCGTTGAAGAAGCTGCTCTCGCGCCCGACCGGGCGAGCCTTCGCCCGACCGGGCGAGCCTTCGCCCGATCGGGCAGACCTTGCCCGGTCTGACCGGGCGGTGGGGGTTGGATACGTTGAAGCATTCGTATGGAGTTTTCTTCTCGCGCCCGATCGGGCAGACCTTGCCCGGTCTGACCGGGCGGAGAAGGAAAAATACGGAACGCGGATTTTGCGGTTTTAGGTTATCTTATTTTATTATCTTTTTGCCCAAGTATCTTTTAATTAGGGATTAATATAAAACCTCCCTAATATCAGTATTAGGGTGAAAAGAGATAGAGTGAGAGCCGTTCTTGAGAAATACAAGAATCATCTTTGTAATCTTTGCAGTTTATAGTGAAATCATTCGATCTCGGTGCCCGTGGACGTAGCTATCACATCGATAGTGAACCACGTAAATTCTTGGTGTTGTTCTTATTGTTTGCATTGAATTTCTTTATTGTTTTCTTGTTTGTTTACGACCTTTGCTTCCGCTGTCGCACAACAAGTTGTAATGGCGCTTAAAAGACTAGGGGATGGTCCGAGGGCTCATTCATTACTTTTGAATGCACATCACCAAAAGCTTCACCACACTATACAAATTCTGAAGCCTGCAGCAACTCTCAGTGTAAATCCAGGGGCAGCATATTGTACTAGTCTCTCACAACTCGTATTCTCTACTATCGCTCAAGCTTCGAGTGATTCTCTAGCTGTTTTTGGGGAGGACACTTCATATACATCGGAGTTAGTGACTTGGGCAGTTAAGGAAACCGAGAATTTAGGTGTTTTAGTAAGGAGGCAATTGCTTACCCAGTCAGCTGCTTCAGGGAATCTGAGAGCAGCTGCTCACTGTGTGCAGATCTGTTTGGGACATTGTGCATTGCTTGAATCTCAAGGACTTTCCCTCTCTCCTGTTCTGCTGAAAGATTTTAAGCCACTTGTTGAGCAGGCGCTTAGTGCTAATCTGAGAAGGATCGAACAGAACTGCGCTGCCCTTGCTTCTTCTGACAACTGGTCTCTGACGCCTCCATCAGGCGGGGGTGTGAGTCAATCTAGGCTCAGTAGCAGTGCCAATAGATTTAATTCTATGGTCCAGGTGCACCTCATCACTTATTGCGAATTTCTAATCATAAACTTCATTTTCTTGTTTTCTAAAGTTATTTCCCTTAGTCCCTTATATAGTTGCAGACTTGCAGTTATTGCCACTTCCAACTTCACTCTGCCTTGACTAACTGTATTGAACAACAGAACGTAGTGTGAATGACCAATGTGACCCCCAATTCCTATCGAAAATTGAACACAAAAGGTTGATTAGTTGGGTGAAGATAGAAGATTAAAGATGGTTACTACTTGGCCATTTTTATCTACTCCTGAAACAATCTATGAAATCCTGGGGCTGCCGAATGATTTGGAAATGATGTTTATAGTGGTTTTCTGTGATGAAAAGATTAATGGTCAAAATATTAATGGATGAAATTTCCACTCCACTTCTTTGGATTAGGCTATAGGGCTTTTAGATATTGTATCCTTGCTAATTTAGACTAGTTATGAAAATCATATCTGTATTTGATAGGGTAATTAGGATTCATAGTGTGGCATTCTGATGGTTGTATCAGAATTTTTCCTTTTCCAATAAAATCTCTTGTAGTAATTTCATATACTCTGGTGCTTCCTCCTTCAGGATCTTTTCGAAGACGTGGAACCCCTAGAGACTCTACAACTGAGGACACCATTGCTTGAAGGGTTAGTACATGTGTTCCACTCCTACGTGAACACCCTAATAAGCGCGTTCCCAGCATCAGTAACTGAGGCGATCCAAGATGGTCTAGGACCTTCAATTGTCAAGGTGGCCGAGACTGAAGCCCAACAGCTTGCTTTGCTAGCCAATGCTCTCCTTTTATCAGACGAGTTTCTCCCTCGTGCTGCTGCAAAGATGTTGCCCTTCAATCAAATTAATAGGAATGAAGAACCTTCAAGAAAAGACATAGATCGACAACATCGTGTAGCAGAGCAAAGAGACTGGAAGAAGAGGCTCCAAAAATCTGTAGACAGGTTAAGAGATAGCTTCTGCAGACAGCATGCCCTTGAGCTGATCTTTACTAATGATGGTGAACTTCGTCTTACAGCACACCTATATACTAGGTTGGATGGTTATGCTGAGGAGCCTGAGTGGTTCCCTTCTTCAATTTTCCAGGTTCTATCCTTCACATCTTCAAATATAATTAAGGCCGTGCTCTCTTCACCAGTCACCTTTTATTTTTACTGAACTGAATCTATTTTTACTAATTAAAATTGATTTTATATCAACGATAACCTATTCTTGAATGATCTTTAATGGGTCATAACAGAATAAAAATTAGGCCTGCATTTCATATACCCATAAAGGTCATAAAACAATTAACTTTGGGGTGTTTTTTTAGGAGCTTTACATGAGATTGAGTCAAATAGCTGCACTAGCATCGGAGATATTTGTAGGAAGAGAAAGGTTCGCGACATTACTGCTAATAAGATTGACAGAGACAGTGATTTTGTGGATTTCTGATGATCAAACCTTTTGGGAAGAAATCGAGCAGGGGACCAAGCCATTGGGTCCTTATGGCCTTCAGCAGGTGGGATATTCGAATTTTCACCCTAGTCACCTTACCATAAGTTGCATGTTCTTAATAATTATGAGGACTTCTTTTGCAGTTTTACTTAGATATGGAGTTTGTGATGCTGTTTGCATCCCAAGGCCGTTTTTTGTCTCGAAATCTCCAACAAGTAGCTAAAAACATCATTGCTAGAGCTATCGACGCAGTTTCTGCTACTGGGATTGATCCTTACAGGTTAGTATGCTTTACATTAGCATGAATTTAATTGGTTCATAGTCACTCGCCAAGTAGTCAATGCTAAAAGCTTCCATTTCTGTTTGTTTTGCTTCTTTCACCCCCTTCGGCAGTTCTTTGCCAGAGGATGAATGGTTCGCTGAAGTAGCCCAGATAGCATTAAAGATGCTAACAGGAAAGGCCAACTTTGGAAATGAGGACCGCGAAGCTGTCAGCCCTGCAGCATCAGCATCTGGAAGGTCATTAACATCAGCCTTTTCTCATGGAAGCCTCACGAGTATGCAATAGTAATCATCAGTTTTTTGCAATTTGTAAGTAAAATGGACAGATTCCAATTGTAATTTTTCAATACAAAACATTACGTTTGTGAGTTCAAATGTTAAGCAATTTTGGATCCTTACGATAATTATAATTCTACAATCCTACAAAGTTTCGGAAGTACTTCAAATCTAGACAAATGTGAGAGTTACGCATATCAAATTGATTTTTACTGATTACAACTAGTTTATTCTAAAACCGATTGATTAAAATTTAACAAGGCCTAAGATGTCAACCAATTAGCTCAAAACATACATAGTGGAGATGGTAGACCGGTAGTTGTATACATATAATATAGGGTTGACACCTAGCTAATTAACTTATAATTAACTAAGTGTAAGAGACTAAGAGTACAATATATCATAATTTTGCCCATGCATGTTATAATTGTGAAAAAATAAAAAAGTTTGACCTTGGAGGTCACATGGGCCCATCTTAGCCACCAGATCTGGGATTGGGATATGCAAGGTTGAAAACACGAATGTTAATACGTACTGTTATTGGTTGTTGCTACTATTAGTTTTTTATGTCTTTGCAAGTGCACTATACAATCTCCCCTTATATGGTTTCAAGCATTATATATAGGTTGCAATAGTGAAAGCTGTTTTGTGTTTACTGAAGCCTGCCTTAGCATCAGCCTGCATAAAAATTCAGTGTGTGCATTTTGGCTTCATATTATACACATTCGTGTCCCATTTGATAGGTAGTAATAAACTAATAATAAATGGTAACATTAGTGACAAACTTGTACGCAGTACGTGTGATAGTAGTGAAAGTCGCATACCAATATCTATGTTACAATATGAAAACTGCATGTTAGCAGCAGAACAATGGGCATTACATTGTCAGCCGTGCATCTAAAAACTTTAGGATATGATTTTGGACAAAGAAAATGATTCAAAAGAGCAAATTTGACTGGTTGCCTAATTTAAGTATCTGATTAACAACTTTTCCAAGAAAAATGATGCTGGTGAACTGCACTAACACTTGAAGTTTGGACTGAACAGATGTTGAAATTTTTTTTTTAAAACAAACTGATGTTTAAATTAGTTTAAATGACTCAGATCCATAAAAATCCAATGCTTACTGAGCTAAAACAAGCGTAAAATTTTTATAAAGGGTCCTTAGCTTGTTTTTATAGAGTAAAAGTCTAAGGTACTACAGAGTAGTTACTAACAATGCGTTTGACATGTCGCAATGGTAATAAACATATATTGAGGAAACGTACGAGATAACTCCCTAAAATCTAAAATTATACTTTGTTCTACTCTCGACAAGGTTACTTCTTTAGCATCGGAGGGAGTTTCAATTCCTCGATTAACCCGCGAGAGTAGCTTACGTTTTCTCTGTCATGGAGCAAGGAGCATCAAGATCATTCCTCTTAGACTCCACACTCATAACAATTATCATCATTATTATTATGATCATAGATAAATTACATATGCCTCAAGTTGATACAAGTATATAACTTACATGGTTATAAGGAACAAATTAAAAGCTTGTACTAATACTAAGATAAAGTTGACTAACAACCTACCATCATTGGATAGTGGGGGGGACCTTCAAACATAGGGTTGACCCCTGCTAATCTATACAATTACTATCCAAAAATTATCAACTTAACAACTTGAATAATACTTTTCACGTTAATTAATAATGCAGAAAAGTATCAACCTTGGCCGTCAGATTTAAGTCATTTAACCTCAATACATTAATCAACACAGGCAAGTAATCCAAGATGAGATCCAACGGATCAAATTTAATATCTACGCAAGTGCATTATATCATTTGTATAATTTGTCCGCATAATATATAGTTTAGTATTAACACTAAGCTAATAAGCCATTAAGTGTTTGTCGAAGCTTTTTTAATAACATGTGCCAGCAATATTAGGCTTGAATTTATATGCAAAGCATGTTCCATAAAAAGATTAATTCCAAAGACCTGACGTTAGAACTGCTACTTAAAATATATGCTTTGGACTTTATTGAGCACTACAAAAGAGAAAGACAAGAAAACCAATCAATTCTCAAGTTAATGAATATTGTTAACTTAAAATGATTGGAGAACTCCAAAAACAAGTTTTGATTATTCGATGCCCATAATAGTATAATTAATCCCCTAGTTTCTTATTACAAAAGATTTCATATCGACCTCCATTTCATATTAACTGTTGCATTCACTATCAACCAATTCAAGTTTCAATACGTAGAAAAAGAGACTATCCATCAAAATTTGTTGTTGAAAAGTAAAAGCGGTAGTTAATGTGGGATGAAAAAGATACAAATCTAAACAAATCTTTGGATTCTTTTTGTTGACTCCTGTAATTATAACAAAACAATCAACTTTAATAATATATTAATTAAGAGGGCCAGTTTTAAGTGTAAAGATTAAAGAAGAAAGATATTTTTCACTTTTTATAATAATGTTTTCTTAATGGTAGGGTTTTTAATTTCTGTCAAATCTGTTTAACCTTTAAATACAGGTACTAATCTCAAGTCTCATTCATCCCTTTTTAGCCAAAACATGGCATATCAGTTAATGTTCATCCTCTTAACATTCTCTATATTTTACCCTGAATTTGTCAAAAGTATTAGTTCCCCACCATGCAACTCTAATGACCTAACAGCTTTGCATAAGTTCAAGGCAGCTATTAGCCTTGACACTTCTGGCAGGCTGCAAAAATGGGTAGGCCGAAGGTGCTGCGATTGGGAGGGGATCGTATGCAAGAACACAACATACAGAGTGACAGAAATCAATCTGCCAGGGCTCATCTCAACAGAAGATTTCATTGGTCAGACGAAGATGGAAGGCGTTCTATCACCCTCAATCATGCGCCTTACTTCTCTTGAAGTCCTTGACCTCGGAGGGCTTGTCAGTCTTTCAGGAAACATCCCTAAATCTGTCGGTTTTCACTTGGTGAATCTCACAAAGCTGAATCTCTTTGGCAATAATCTGAGTGGTCCTATACCAGAAAGTATCGGTAAGCTGATAAAACTCGAAGAAATTCAGCTTCAGGAGAACAGATTTCTTGCATCGATACCCTCTAGTATTGGTTCTCTAAGGAACCTGCAAAGATTATTCCTGTATTCCAACAGACTTTCAGGGTTCATGCCTGATACTATTTCAAACTTGGTGAATCTGGTGACACTTGACCTCCATGACAATGCTCTAGATGGTCTAATCCCCGAGAAGATTGGGGCCTTGAGCTCCTTGAAAGCACTCGATCTCTCAAATAATCGTCTGACAGGAGCGATTCCTGCTTCTGTAAATAACTTAACTGCCATTTCAACAGCTTATTTTGACACCAACTTTCTCCAGGGACAAATTCCATTTCCTGTAAATCCTGGTGATATGCCCTCCCTTGGTTTCCTGAGGCTGCAAAACAATCAGCTAACAGGAAACATACCCTCTACGTTTGGATATTTGTCATCCCTTCGTAGATTATCACTTGCAAATAACAAGCTTGAGGGTCCATTACCATCAAGTTTTGGCGATTTATCAAAACTGTCAGAGTTATATCTTGATGGTAATCGTTTATCTGAAACTATACCAGAATCCATAGGCAAGCTATCAAATCTTATTCTCTTAAACCTATCACATAACTTTATACAAGGTCCACTTCCTCAAGAGATGTCAACCCTTAACAACCTACAGATCCTTGATCTTTCATTCAACCTTCTAACCCTTCAATCTATTCCTAAGTGGCTAGCTGAGTTGCCGTCTCTTTCCCGGATTTTGTTAGCAGGGTGCAGGATCCAAGGTGAGTTTCCAGAAGTCCTACGAGCAACTCCAAGTGCGTTGCAGGAATTGGACTTGTCAGACAACAGTCTGACAGGAAGCATACCAGCTTGGGTTGGGAAACTAACTGAGCTCTATTCGCTGAACCTATCTAGGAACTCCCTCATTTCAGATATTCCAGACACAATCACGAATCTGCATGATTTGGGTATAATCGACCTTCACTCAAACAATCTCACAGGATCAGTGGAGAAGGTTTTCGAATTGGAGACCAGGTTTTCAGGCGGGTCTCTGACATATGTCGATCTTTCTGACAACAGTTTCTCAAGCGGGCATGAGGGTATTGGTATAGGATCTCAAACTGGAATTCAGCTCCTAAATTTATCCAACAATTTACTTAAAAATGGACTGCCAACTTCCATAGGGAAGATGGGATCACTGAAGACCTTGGATTTCAGCAGCAACCAATTAACCTCAGCATTGCCAGAATCATTAGGTGATGCAAGTTTATTGGAGATATTGAAGTTACAAAGAAACCATTTTAATGGCAATATACCAAATGGGTATTTGAAGCTGAAGAAACTAAGAGAATTGGATTTATCAGATAATCTATTGAAGGGACAAATTCCTATCGGTAAACCACTTAGCGGTTTTCCATCGAGCTCTTACTCTGGAAACCGAGATTTATGTGGAAAACCTCTTCCTCCTTGTAAGATTTGAATTAGAATTTTTTTGGTTCTTAGCATGATAGAAAGTTAGAACTAAACTAGAATTCTTTTTTTATGCATTTTCATTTTTTGTGCAAGTTAGCATCACACATTCATTCTCTTTGGAAATACAATCATGATTCTAGCAGAAACTTATTAATGTCTTTATCTTGGCATGATCCAAAATAATAAAATGGAGTACAATTCTGGAGTATGGGCCATACACCCATCATTTAAATCAGGAGCAAAAACTATGGTAATGAGTTGGTGAGTGTCCCACTGTTTCCAAGAAATTCATGAAAATTTAAAAGTAATTATAAAGTGCCATTTATATAGATGCTCAATTTCTTCAAATCAAGGGGCCATGCATTCATCATTATGTCTAGACAGAATTATAATTACAAGTAGGGCAATAATCTACTATGTCTAATATATCCTATAGTATTTTTTATCATATGCATGTGAATGACCCTGTTATCTATGCACACTACATGTGCATCAGAGTAAAAATTTCAGCTCCATCCATCATCATAGGAACTGTAAAAATTTCTTTTAGAACTATACACATACATACAGACTATGGAAATATATAATATGGGGCAAAACTAAACTCTCTTTTCTTTTTTATTTCACATATTTTGATCTTACAGTATACCAGCTAAAATTCAATTCAATAAGGGGTTGTCTTGATTCATCCCTAATTGCTGGTAATTCATGTAGTCAAGTCCGTTTAATCGTACACAACATAAAATTTGCTCAGGTAAGTCTTCAGCTTTGTTTCCCTGTTTAATAATGTAACACAGTTATATCAGTAAACGCTGTCGGCATGTCGCATATGCTTAGTTTATGATAAAAAAAAAATTGGATACAACCGAATAAAATAAACATAAATATTCTCAAAAAGGGCGATATCAACTTGCCTGTATGGTGAGTCCAAAATCCAGAATACACATCTTTAATCTGTCCAGGAATGCCTCAAAGCCTTTCCTTGAGATATAACTAAATCTGTGCATATCTAAATCGATTTCAAAGTAATTTTCTCCCTGCAGAAAATTAGCAGCAGATGATAAGAATCCTAGAACATTAAAGTCATGGTTTAACAGGGCTTATTGAATATTTGAATCAGACAACCTTTAAGAAACATATTGCACTTAGTTTAGGTGAAAACAATAACCATTATTTTTTTCCTGCTAAGCACACTAGCACAGTATTTATATATGTATGTATCGTTCATATTTTCAAAGTACTCATAGTTGATTTCGTAAAACAATGAAACCATTTTCAAAAGCACAAGCGCTTCAAAGTAACATAACACTCCATTCATCAGTTCTTACGCTGCCTCTAAAATTATCAAAACTTGGTGGAACAGAACAAATATCATGAAATATATTGGAGAAGATGAATAGCTAAATTTCTACTTACCGTAAAGAACTCATGTTGAGGACGAGAAAGGACAGGCTTTTCGTTATAGGCATTAATAAGCTTCTTCTCGGCGGCACTTAAATGAAGGTCGTCCACATTGCCTAGACGACCCAAAATTTTCAATCGCTCCCGGTAAGGTGCAATCGTGTCCATAGGAAAACCTTTTACCTTTTCAACTTCATCATCCATCAATCTCTGCATACACAAGAAGCATACGAAACACATTTAAAATACAGAGATTAAAAAAATTCTGAGATTAAAGAATCAGAAGTAATTAGATGACCATCACATCTTACCCTGATACTTTCTTGAAAGTTGGATGGAATTTCCTTTAAAAAACTTTCATTTATCTTGAAATACATCACTATATTAATTCCTTCACCATCAACTTCATTCTGGAAAAATGCAGGAGGATATAATGGCACCTGCACACCAAGAAAAGAAAAGCTGAGACTATCAAAAGCGAAATCTAAATAAATTGGCCATAGTGAAAGAGTAAGACCTCTGCCATCAAATTTAAGCTAGTTATTATGTCAATCACAGTACCCATATTAAGGTCGGACAAAATAAACTAGTTGATATAAACAAAATAGCATGCACTGTGTACTTCCATATGCTTGAATGGGCAAATAATCAAAATGTGGCACCTCAAAGAGTAAAAATAACAAAACAGAATAAGGGTTTCAATGACCAAACGGAAGAGTTCAATGCAAGATGCCAGCCACAATTCTTTCAGATTTCAGCAGATAAATCAACCTTAAGAGGCCAATAATATATTCATCACAGTTCAAAATGAACATAGAAAATAAAAACTCATGCATATTCAGAGACTTCATAAAAGTAGGAATGTTGTTCCCCTTCTTAGCAGTGTAATATTTTACTAAAAAACCATTAAGCATAGGGTCTATATTGAGGTGCTCATAGAAAATTTAGGCTCCTAAACGAATTGGCCAGTAGCCTTAAGGATTGGAATTTTTTAAGAGAATAAAAGTACAGAACCATTAAGTTATCTCAAGCTGAGAAACCAGGATCAGAACTGTTAATCTAAACAAGGGTACACATTTCTTAAAATTTCACTTTGGTATAAATACCTGAGCATTTACAATGAGAAGGGGTGGGAAACCCCCCGCTGAAGAATTTACTGCAGGAAGTTCTACAAATCGAGCCACGTGCTCAATTTTTCGTGGGGACAAGAATAAATCAACACCAATAGGATAGTATGCAGCATAAGGTGGAGCAAATTCCTTCTTTTTATCCCTGTCATATGAAAGCAAGTTTTCCAAAGTCAGAAAATCAGCAAATGTCTGAAAATATGGATCAAGATTCTAAGTTTTCAATATATTTATGACTTGTGCATCTCAGAAGATATTGACATTATCCTTCAAAGATAAATATGTTTTTGTGGTTAACCAGCATTTTTCTCTTACCTAAAATAATTCTGGCCGCGAACTCTAAAGGAATTTGGCTCAATATGTGACCAACTATCCATTACTCTCTTTTCTATTCGACTAAAAGGTACTTGAGACCCTGCTAGTGGTTTTTGCAGGAGCATCTTTGATGAAACTGCACAGAAGTTAAATACTTTAGAGATTAGTAAATCGACATAAAGATATCTACAACATCCATTACTTAATAGACACAAAGTAATGGTGCATACATCTTGAATTGGGGGGTCCATCCCTCCATTTGAAGGAAAGCTTTAATGCTGCCTTCTTTTTCGCACTTTGCGGACTAGAGCTGAGTGAATTTCTCTTCTCAATAGAAGGTATGGTCGTAGTATTCAGGCAAGGCAAACAATTATTATGAAGGATGCCGCAATTATCCAACATTTTGTCCTCCTTGCTGCTGCTTTCATCTACAGAAGAGGATATTTCATCGAGGTATACTGGATGCTTTGTTTCCATTGAGTTTCTACCAAGATCGCTCATAGAATTCCGTGCAGAATGTACTTCATGCGAATTTCTACCCACTGATAAAGCATTTTGAGATAATATATCTGCATTGATTCTTTTCTACTAAGATGGGTACGGAGAACTTATACCATTTTCATATAAGTATAACAAAGGGGAAAACATACCTTCTGGAATACTCTGATAATCTTCTTCGCCGTCAGACTCAAAAATCATGTTTGAATCATACCATGCCTCCTCAACGCTACTGCCTGTCAAGACCATAATAAGTGATAAACACGGTTAAAGTGAGAGAACAGCAACACAATAATCCACAAGAACCAATGTTACATTTCAGTATATTTCTCAATCTGATATAATGCAATAATCGAGCTTTGGGCCTTTGTTTTTTGAATAAGTCATCCGTGAACAATGCCCACAATGATAACAAGCAAGAAACAGCCACCGGATTTTATAAAAAAAATTAGTTCACTAAGGGATTGCCATTATTGATACCACACAATCTCGATTACTCCATACTTCTTATAAAAGACGGAGCAAACTTAACAGATGGTTCAACTAGATAACTACTTGAGTGTTGCTTATCATTCATCATAGTAAAACAAGTATGCCCATAGCCCACGCCCACTACCCAGCTTTCAGCTCAACTGCATCAGGGAGCCCCAAGATTATATTCAGCTTAATTCTATCCTTAAAACAGGTCTGTAATTAGCACTTGGTGCTGGAAAAGATTTTCTTCCACAAACTCCGCATAAAAGCATAAGCGAGTTTGCCAATGGTATACATTCTAAGTGATTCTATGCAAGGTCAACAACAGGAATTCGTCCAATCTGTTTAACAATGTGTAACAAGTTCAGCAATCCAAATAACACTGAAATCTCACACCATCAGATGCAATTAATCAGAAGTTAATGCAATCTGAGACGAATTGCTTGCACTAATAAGCAAATTCCACTAAGCTAAACGCCGTAAGCATGACTATCAGGCACTCAAATGCCAGCATATCAGCATTACTATGCCTCATTTATCCTCTTTTTTCTTTAATTAGATGATCTTGAATCCTTAAAATTCCGGCATTGAAATCCCACATAATTAGAACCTAATAGTAGCAATTACCTGCTGTTATAAACAACCATTCCTAATTATCAATCTAGGTATTAGGTTCAAACAGGAAGTCAGAATCAAAAACCCACTTTTGGCAATAGCTTGTACATGGAGAAAAGCATAAGAATCAGCAAAATCAAGTACTACCACAATTGGATAATTAAATTAATTTAATCATAATCCTAATCACATTAATCAAACTTCCGTCTAACTTTTGTATGTTTACATAATCTTACCCACAAAATAAAGTTACTCTCAGCCAAAAAGTGAACAAGCATCAGCTGCCACCCAGAAAAATTAATGCACATTTTCTCACATCATCAATTAAAAAACAACAAAAGACCACAGCTTTATCCAATTCTAGTTGTCGGTACATAGTGACCGCTAAAGGCAGTGGTGTAGCCGGGATTCGATCTGAAACGACCTCACGAGACTTTACCAACTAAGCTAGCTATCGACTTTTACCATCCAATGTAAGTAATATTTTCAGCTCAAAAATCAAAATTACAAAACCCACAAAACAAATCACACTAAAAAAAATAATAAATCAGGTACAAAAATAAAATTAGGCATAAACCCAGAAAAATTAAAAGTAGCAAAATAAACCTTGGTAAGTGGGATTAGTAAAAGATCGATCTGTAAAAGAAGTATTGTTACAGGCATCGAAAGAACGATCAGATAAACGAGAAGAAACGCGTTTCTTAATTCCAGATTTTCTCTTTTTGCGATTGTTACCAGTAGTAGCAGTACTAGTACTATGATGGGTTTTCTTCTTTGACCTCTTTGATTGTTTCCCAACACACCCTTTCGGGGTTGATACACAAGCTCCCATTTTTGTGCCCCTTTCTCTCTCTAGAAATTGCAGAAGAGAGAGAAAATAAAGGGGGGAAGAAGATGATGAAAAAATTGGAGGAAATATCGAGAATTATAATATAAAGTATTAATAATTAACAATCATAATTATGAAGATGATGATGTGTATAAATACAATGCAATGAATTGAATTAAATTGAATGCAAAGAGAGGAAAGAGAGAGGAAAAAAAAAAGCAGCAAAACGTGAATTCGAAGGGAAAAGATATATTTGTGTGGGTGGGTCGGATGGAAGAAGGAAAAAAGAAAGAAGAGGAGAGAAAGAGCTTTGCTATACAACAACAAACGAGGAGAAGAACAACCGCATTCTTTTATCTGGTGTTTATAAATTTATAAATCCACAGTGATGTAGACGAGGCTTGATTTTAATACCAATCGTTTTCACTTCAATTTATGGAGTTTTAATTTTAGATTTATTGAGCTTGGTTAACTTTAATTTCACACTATTTGTCCTTATATTCACGTCTAATAAGATCTGATTAATCTTAATTAGACTTAAAATTCAATAAGGTAAATAAAAAGCATCTTATATATATATATATATATATATATATATATATATATATATATATATATATATATATATATATATATATAAATCTTCTTTAAGTATATTGTTGTTGATTTTTATTTTTCTTCAATTGATGTTGATTTTTTATTTTCTTTGGTTGATGTTGATTGTTGAAAAAATTGGAGTGATTATTTTATTAGCATTATTATGATGATTTGAGGATTACTATGAAAAAGATTGATAGTAGATCTAAATATTTAATGTAATTTAAAAATATCAACCTTAATTATTGTTGGACTAAAATCTTATCAATTTGATTTTGGTTGAGACTTTTTATTCAATATTGGGATATGAGGTGGATATTGGAGCACCTACTTCTCCAACCTTCACTTTTTGTTTAATTGACTTGGTTTATGTTAACAGTTAGGGCATGCTTGGTTTGAGGGTAATATATTAAGAGGGTAATATATTAAAAGGGTAATAAAAGTCAAACTTGAAAAAAAAAAAAAAAAAGTAACTAGAGGGATTGTTGTAGACTTGTAGGAGACAAGGTGTTTACAAATGAAAAAAAGTAGTTCTACCATAAGGAAAAGAGAGAGATGGAGGAATTATTATCCTCATAATGAGGATAATAGTTATCCACCCTCCCCCTATTGTAACTATTACCCCCAAAATGAGGGTATTAGTTTCTTTTCTTCACCTCATATTACAGCATCACTACATAATTTTCCTTACAATCACACCATCAATATCTCCTCCTTCCTTATATTCACTTTCATTTTGCTTAGTTTGACTTTTATTATCCTAATAATACATCTCCCTCAATCCAAGCATGCCCTTAAAATGAATCTTATATTGTTGTCATTCAAAGAAAGTAAATATTTTCAAACCCTTTTTAATCATAATATTTGCTTAATCAAACTTTTTTTTATTTAAAATTCATTTACATAATGTACTCTAATATTGGTACCCCTGTACGTTTGAAGTACTGCCAATGTGATATCGGTAGTCAACTCATATATCGATACTACATTCATTTTAATTTATTCTTTATAAATAAATATCTTGATTACATAGTCAAATTTTGACCATCACATAAGAGAAAAACATTTGTGTGAGATTTTGATAAATTTTGAGTTGATACACATATCTAAAATATCAACTTTCAATCATTTTTTAAAAATCACGTACTTACAGATATCTATATTTAAAGTTTTCAGTAGAGATTTGAAAAGGACAAACAACTCATTGAACTAGAATTATAGTCCAACCAATACTTTCTTGGAATATAATAACATATCTAATCAATTTTCAAGTGCATTAAACAAAAAAGTACTCCATACCTCATCACTAATATACTTTAATCAAGTTAAGGCTTGATAAAATCCATAAACTTTAAAACAACTTGATCATTCCAAGAATATATAATAGAATTAAAATTAGCTCAACCTTTTGCCTTTATACCAAAATTGATTTTTTGATAACTAAATGTAAATCAAAATGATATAAATCGAAGTAAAAGAACCCAAAGAATTACAATCGCTAATTGAAAGACTTTATACAATGATTTGAGCATTATAAAAGTAACTTATAATTAAAAAAAATAAAGTATATATATATCAAATCGATTTGTGTAACAGGATACAATTTGTTCACAAACATGGTGTAAACATAAAGAAACCAAACCCAAATTAAATTAAAGAAGAAAAAGATGTTAAAAAAGAGTGAGATTGATTAGTTGAAACTTCAAAGTCTTACAGATAAGAAGGGCAGTCAAAATAGAAAAAGAGGTTCAGATTCAGTCAGTCAGTCACGGCAGTTGTAAGCCGCGTTTGTTAGCGTATTCTTATTGGCTTTAACTATTGATTATTACATCAATTAAGTACTTATGCCACGTGTGACCAAATCTATGGCAAAGCGTGTGCATTTTTTATTTTTATTTTTTTTTGTTTTGTTTTCAGTGAATTTTTGTAATTTTCAGTAGCATGCAGCTTTGTTTTGGTTTTTTTTAAAAAAACTTTGATGTTATTTTTTAGTAGAAATTAGAAGGTACAGAAAGCAAGGGCTAATAAAACGTTTGGTGTTGCTAGCTAGCTTTACCCTTTTCCCAATATTGTCTATTATGATTGTTGTATTGTAATGCAAAATTTTTGTTTTTTTATACTTCCTCCTTATTTTAATAAATGTTACATTTTTACTGGTACATAGTTTTAGATAATTTAATTGACTTAAATAAAATAAGAGGTAAGTGGGGTAGTTGGAGTATTAAAAAATTGTAAAAGAAAGATAGTGGGGTTAATAATTTATTGAAAAGTGATGAATGTGAGAGGAGAGAAATAATTCAAAAAAGTAGTAGTGGATTTAGGTGGGGATCATGAAAGGAGAGAGATATAATATTAAAATGTAGCTTTTTGCCAAAAAAAAGAAGTGTAACAATTATTTAAATATGACCGCATTTGATAAATGTAACACTTATTAAACACGGAGAGAGTAGGTATGTTTTTCTTACGTGAACCGCTTAAGGGGTTGTTACTACTTCTTCCCTCATTCAATATTGTTGGTGGAGTTAACGAGTGAGAAAACTAGTGGGATCGAAAGTAATGTATATGTGAGAAAGTTATAATTTGGTATATGGTATAGACGTTTATAACATGTACTACGTATAAGAAAATTTATTAGAGACAGGGCAACATTTAGGTGAGTGAAAATAAATTTCATTACTTTTATGTGACATCATATCATGTCCCTTAATCTTAACGACTTGATCAATCAATCATGTGGCATGTGCTGAAATGTCCTTGCCATCAAATAGGTCTTTCATCATTTGTATAACAAACGTCTACATTATAAGTACATTGGCTTAAGGAAGTTGTTTTCCATATAAAAGGTGCCATGTAGTATATGCTAATTATGGTTAAGACTTAAGAGGTATTGATGGTGATATTATTAACCTTCTAGTACAATCTTTAATGTTTAAGAGATTGAATTAGAGTTTTTTCACTTTCTTTCTTATAGAGCTAGCCAGCTCATCATGCAATAGTTTTTTTTTTTTTTTCATTCACAAAGTATATCTAATCTATCCTAAGTTATCCACATAATTACCCAAGAGAAGTTTTTAGATAAATTCTCCTTTATTTTAGTTAACTTTGTAATGTACCGGGCTAGTTCTTCATCGTTTTTTTGTTTCAAGTTTTTAGTTTTTTTTTAAACAAAAATCAAATATAGGAAACAAGAAAAAGTAGTTTTCACTTTTCTAATTGTCAGTTTTCTTAATAATCATGATTTCGACAAGTCGGACTAATTTTTCATTCTTAATATGACATATTCACATATATATATATATATATATATATATATATATATATATATATATATATATATACATACCATGTGACTTTATAAAACAAAAACCAAAATACTAAAAACTATAGTGATGCCGAACGAGCCCTAAATTTTGTATTTTTGTTGGAAATTTACCATCATTATTTATTAACATTTATACAATAATCCCTTTAATCAAAATCAATGCATCAACCTTTTCTAAAATTTTACTATTTAGATTTATGAAAATTCTAAGGTGATTAAATAAACTAATTAGATTTAGATTTAGTAAAATTCTAAAATTTTACTATTTAGATTTATGAAAACTTTGATCACCTCAAGCTAAGCCATGTTACATGGCACTCTCTAGGCCACATATAATCAAAGTGGTCCCTCTTAACTTTTTTTTACCAAAAATCATTTAAGTGATTTTCTAAATTGTTAAAAATCATTTATGGAAATTGGAAAATAAGTTTAGATATTAAAAAAAAAAAAAAAATATTCCCAGCCACCCTCTCCACCAGCCCCCACCCTGCCGTGACCACCGCCACCGACTCTGATTGCCGGAGACCACCGTCGACCACCTTTGTCTGCCGGCAACCACCAACCCAGCACCCTAACACGCAACGAACGCCTAAACCCGCTTCAGCAACGCAATAGTATCCTTCTCTAATTCCCCCAATGAAGAAAAGGAGAAAGGAAGAAAACCATAGTCAATAGCCCTGCAACGCGCCCCATACTTGTCTCGCTTCCGCTGAGCAGCAACCGACACAACACGACCAGGAACGAAGTCAGACAACCCTGATTGTGTTAAAGGAGAAGACCCCGTCAAGTCGACACACACATCAAGGCCTCTGTCCCAAGAATAAAGCAACACATCTGCACGTCAAAGTGTCATTCTCTCCGGTCAACCCAACGTTAACCTCCTTTCTTGCAGAAACCCCAAACCGAAAACAAATATCAACAAGGGTATCGCCTAACATTATGCCGATGTTTAATCCCCACAATCCCAGCACATGACACTGCATGATCCCCAAAAATGTCCAAACACATATGCAGGTCGAAGTGCCCCATCATTCCCTCCAGTCAACCAAACACATCTACAGGTTGAAGTCCCCACCATCCTAACACATCTGCAGGTCAAAGTGCCCCATCATTCCCTCCAGTCAACCCAACACATCTGCAGGTTGAAGTCCCCACCATCCTAACACATCTGCAGGTCGAAGTGCCCCATCATTCCCTCTAATCAACCCAACGTTAACCTCCTTTCTTGTAGAAACCCCAAATCGAAAACAAATATTAACAAGGATATCGCTCAACATTATGCCGATGTTTAATCCCCACCATCCCAGCACATGACACTACATGATCCCCAAAAATATCCCCATCGAAAACCCTTGAGCAAGCTAAACACGATGTCAAAACGGAGTACAATGGAACACCAAATCGGTAGCAAAGAACTGAACGGTAAGTCTTATCATTC